AAAAAAAAAAATAGTTAATCTTTTACACAAAATAAAACTATTTTCGCATAATAAATTTGTGTGGTTTTAGTTAATAAATAACTGTAGTAATAATAATAATTACCGAAGTTTATAGCTGAGAAAATAATAAATAGTAATTATTTATTACTAATTAATATTCTCAAAAGCACAAAAAATAAGCAAATAAATAAAAATAAAGATGATAGATATTTTTTTTATTGTCAAATTAAAATTAATAAGTAATAATACTATAACAAAATTATATTTTTTATTTCATTCACATTTATATGGAACAAATAGTTAAATACCGTAGATAAACTCTGATAATTAATAATAAATATAACAATAAAACATTTAACAGAAAAAAAAAATAATAATAAATATTATTATTATTATTATAAAAAAAAAAATTTATTAATATCAATCATGTGAAACAATTAATATTCACTGCCAAATTGTGATAAATGTGTTTTTTCACCAAAACATCCAATAGCAGATAAAAATTAGTCGGTATTAATAATTATTTTTCGACTTAATTATAAATTACGCTGTTGTTATTTCTTATATCACAAATATATTGTAACAATAATTTTTAATAATCTTTGAAGAAATAATAGTGGAAATTGTTTTTTTGTATAAAATAAAATTTTTAACGTCGCTCTAAATTATACTATTAGTAATTTAAATTAACTTGTCAGGCGCTTAAGTTTATTTGGTTTGTTATTAATAGAATTTAAATAAACACATGTACAGTGCCTTGACCACAAGAAGAAATAACAAAAAACATAAATAGCGCCTTTGAACAATTGAAGACGAATAAAAGTAATAACAATTAAAATAAAATCAGATATTACTCTATCACAATTATGATTTTTCACTTTTAAATACTGCAATTAACGGCAACCAACAGCAATTATTATTATTATTATTATTACAATTTATAAATAAATAAAAATATTAGTTAGATTATATATTATTATAGAATAATTGTATAACACTGTACAGCCCATAATAAGAAAAATTTAAAACGTAATCGCGAATGATAGTTTAATCCTAAATTTATTATTATTAATTATTCTTATTATTATTACTATTAAAAATTGTCAATAATAATTATCAGTTATTTTCTATGCTATTAATTTCCTCTTGATAATTATTAATCCAATAAATCACGTTACTAAAGCCAAAAGGGTGCATCTCAAAATATACTTTATATATATATATATATTTATAAATATTGTAAATGTATTTATATATATTTTGGCTTTGAAGGACCAAAAGGGCGTATAAAAAAATTTTTTTTTTCTCCAATCAATTAAAAAATTTATAAAAGTAAAATTATGGTTGAAAAACGCAGAAAAAATTTTTTTTTTAAAATACGCTCTTTTGATTTTAAGAATAAAATTTTTTAAAACATATATGGAAAAAATAGTCATATTTATTATCTGGGATATCATCCCAGATTATACTCAGTGATAAATCTGTGGTAAAAAAATTTCAGATAGTAGCTAAAAAAAAATAAAAAAAAATAGAGATTATACTGCGTGATATCTGGATTATACTTATTGTAATCCAGATTATACTGCATGATATCTGGATTATACTCATTGTAATCTGGATTATACTAGTTACTATCTGAAATTTTTTTCACTCAGTATAATCTGGGATGATATCCAGTGTAATCTTGTTTTTTCCAATCATTTAATTGGAGAAAAAAAAATTTTTTTATATGCCCTTTTGGCTCTAGTAACGCGAAGTAATGCCAAGTATTAAAACTACCAATCATTTTTTAGTCTGTTTGCTTGGAGATTTTTGTTGCTTGACTCAGCTAATGGTCATTTGCTTTCTACGGGCTTGAACAACACCATAAACAACAGCAGCAAGACTCCTGCACATGCTTCTGTTCCTGGAGCTGATTCCAGATTGCTGAGTGTCCTTGCCGAGGACGAAATAAGTTTCCATGGTGCCTTTGCCCTTGACCTCAATCATCCCGCGTTTCTGCGTGTGGTAGCCGCGAGCTTCGAGGATCTTGGCGCTGTCCCGAGGAACCTGGATCTTCCCCATCACTCCGGTGGAGTCCATGCGCGAGGCCTCGTTCACGGTGTTGCCCCAGATGTCGTAGACGGGTTTTCTTGCCCCGATCACGCCGCCAACAAGCGGCCCGAAGCTGATCCCGACTCGCAGGTCAAAGTTGTTGAACGAGTGCACGTTGACGTCTTCCAGGCGGAGGCGCATCGCCACGGCGTAGTCCACCAGCTTGCACAGGTGGTCCATGTCGTCCTTGGTCGGGTCCAGGGTGCTGGGATTCAGTCCAGAAGCTGCCATGTAGGTCGCGCCGACTGTTTTTATCTTCTCGATACAGTGGAAGGGCGGCTCGTCCAGCAGCTCGTCGAAGTCTGCTATTATTTCATTCAGCAGTCTGATGCACTCCATTCCTTTGTTCACGTCTTCGGAGTAAAATTCGGTGAAGTTTGGCACGCTCGCGAACATCACTCCTACTTTGTCGCGGGATTGAGAGTATAGTTCCTGCAATTTTTTTAATTGTTTAATATTTTTTTTTTAATAAATAGTGAATTTTTGAATGAAAATAAAGTTAGCCGACATCTAAAAATTTTTAGAATTTTTTTTTAATTGAAAAAATCATTACAGAAAAATAAAAAAAAAAAATTATCATTTGTTAAAAACTTCAAAAACTATAAGTGTAATTTTTTAAAAATATTTTTTAGTAATAATTTAGTAAATTAAGCAAAGTAAAAAAATTAGAAATGTCGGCTAACTTTGTTATTATAATTTTAGAATGACAGATTTTTTTTAATGTAAAATTATTTACAAAAAAAATAAAAAAAAATTTTCATTTGTAAAAAACTTGTAAGTGCAATTTTTAAAAAATATTTTTTTTGTTTCAATTTAATTAATAAAAAAAAATTAAAAAGTTAAAAACGTTGACTAACTTTAGTGTAGTTAAATTTTTTTTTTAATTATTAAAGTGAAGTTAGCCATCTGTCATTTTTTTTTTTCCAATAAAAATTTTTAAATTAATATAAAAAAAAAAATATTTATAACAAATGTGTACTTATAATTTTTTTACCAATTTGTTTTTCATAATAAATAAATTATTAAAAAAATTACCTCAGGTGGATGTTCAGCTGTCAAAAAATGATTAGCGACATGATCAGGAAGAATATTCTTCAACAATTGCATATTATTATGCTTAGACTCCATCATGTCACCTAGTTCTCGTTCAGCTTGTTGTTTCCACAGGAAATCTAACCTAGAAGTCACTTCTACTTGTCTCCCATGGTAAGTTACCACAACAAGGAAGACTATTAAAAAGATTAACATTTGTGCTGACAGCGGCATAGCAGTTCTACAACAACAATAATCATCAAATTAATAATCAATAAATTAGCATAAAAATAAATATATACTTACTCATTAGGATCATCATCAGTCATCAAAAACAACTCCTGATAACCAACAAGAATTAATCCGGCATACATGAAGACAATAATAGACGCCAGAACGGTCTTAACAAGGTAGTACAATTTGAGAGCTGAAGCTAAGGCCATTAAACAAAGAATCCAAGTAAATACAATGTACTCAGAGCGAAAGCATGTTTTGTCTAACTTAAATATTGATGACTCTGTCCAGTTAAGATTATCATTACCATTAACACTCAATATTCTTCTTGTTTTATATTTATAATTATTCAAATCCTGCTTGAACGCTTGAAACTTTCTTCCGTGTCTCTTTAAGACAGTGTGTCTGTGATTTGATTTTATTTTTTCATCATTAAAATAATTATTATCATTAACATTAGACCCTTTGATTTTATTATTCCTCGACAAATCTGTTAAGTATTCTTCATTCTTGTCATCAAAAGCGACTTTTAAAAAATTAAATATAAATTTATCAAGTCCAGGAATACTTTTACTTTTTAAAACACTATTGCTATTGCTGTCATTAAACTTATCATAATTATTTTTATCAATAAGCTTATCCATAACGGGAAGCGACTCCGAAGGGTTAAAAGTAGTCACAGGACATCCTAGGACTCCAATGAGCGAGGTGAAAGCCATCAGACTGATTAAAATGCAGATGAAGATAGTACGGTGAAGTTTATTGTGCGTCAAAGTTGACGAGGCATTCTGCAGAACTGCAGGAAGAGTCTTGAACTCTTCAGCCATCACCAGAATCGAGCAGACAATCAGCACCGCGGTGGTGAAAAAAAGAGACGCTAGGAGAATTATACAGTCTGGTACGATGATCGCCTGGCATATTGCGATAAACAGCCAGATTACGAAGCAGCAAATCATGTTAGACTTGAACATGTCTTCTCTTAATTGCCCGAACTTTGTTTCCAGACTCTCGTCGTTGTAACGCAGCGTCCAAGCGTTTATGTTGGCCAGTCTCATACGCTTGTTGCTGGCGGTTTCGAACCCACCTGCAGCTCCGCCGGGCTTTTTCTCACCTCCGGCTACTCCCGACTCGTCTTCCTCGTCTTCAAGGTACTCCGCTTCCAAGTTGCTCATTGAATTTGCGCTGTTCAAGTTCTCGAAGGGAATCTCCGGGGTCCAATCGACTCCAATGTCATCTTCGTCTTTGCAATTTGTCATGTTGTCTTTGCTGCTGCTGTGGTTGTTTGACAGCAATGCGTTTGCTATCTTGAAACTCTTCTTGGATCTGCCGCCAGTTTCGTCCTCGGTCCATATCTTCGGGCGCGATGACTGTCTTCTTTTTGAACGCAGTGGCTCTGTTTGTTTTATTAGGTAAGTTACTACTTGCCGGTCTTTTAAATAATTATCACGGTCCACTCCGTTCCCTGGTTCTACTTCGTACACGTCGTTTAGACATTTCAATGTTTCTGCTGATATATGTACTCTTCTGCAAATAAATAAATATTAATGCTCTATCTTTAGGTACATAATTAAGAAATTACCTTGTATCTCGTGAATTATTGACATTTTTAAAGATATAAGCTCATCTTGAGGTTACGCTCATCAAGACCTTTCATTTGAGTACCCACATCAATTTTTCATATATATTTTATATGAAAAATATATGAAAGTGCATGTGGGTATTCAAATGAAAGCTCTTGTTAAGTGTAACATTAGGATGAGCTTATATCTTTAAAAACATCAATAGTTGAAAAAGTACAGTGCATTTTAACAAAAGTCATTATTTAATAAAGCAAAATTTTATTTATTTATAGTTCACAAGTCACAGCAGTCACATAGTGACTGTAAGGTTGCTAATTATTATTATTTATTTAATAAATGAAATGTGTGTAAATTTTAATTTATTGAAAAATTTCCTAAAGAAGACTATAGTCTTATTTGTGTATACAAAGTTTATTTTCTCAAGTACTCTATTCGCGCCAATAAAAACAAAAGATATATTTTTTTTATTATTAACGTTTAAATAAAAAAATAATTATGTCTTTTGTTTATTTTTATTTGACCCAAATATAAAATTAACTGAATGTAAAAAAAAAAATAAAAGAAGAAATGCATTTATTTAAAAATAGAATTTATTTATAAAAAATTGTATTTAGAATTTTTATCTTCTTTTTATGAAAATTAAGTTAGCCGAAATCTGAAAATTTTTATTTAAAAAAAAGTGCAATTTTTGAAAAATATTTTTTAGTTTTAATTTAATAAATTAAAAAGTCAAAAAGTCGGCTAACTTTAATATCATTTTCTTTTTTTATATTGAAATTTATTGTTTAGTTAAAAAAAAAAAAAAATATCAATTGACCTAGTGAAAAAATAAAATGACCCTAATATTGATAATAAATTAGTATACCCAGGTATTCCACCACTTTCTAAATGGTTTGCCAAAGTGACATCATAACTCCATACATCGAACTGCCATTTCCTCAAACCAAGGACTCCACACAATACTGACCCGCTATGAATACCAATTCTCATATTTAAATCCGTCTGAAAAAAAAAAATTTCGTCAATGAACTAAATAATAAAAAAAAAAAAGAAAATCAATAATCAATAATAAATAATTACCTTGGTGGTGTACCGTATGTCCCGAATAGCTTTAATCATGTGAAGACCCATTTCAACGCAACAGTGAGCATGGTCGCTTCTCGCAACAGGAAGTCCTGATATGCAGTAATAACAATCTCCAAGCAATTTAATCCTCAGGCAATGATTTTCGGCAGAAAGTCTGTCGAACCGGGCAAACAAATCGTTGAGAACCTTGACCAACTCTTGAGCGCTGCACTGACTTGCCAGTGCTTTAAAAAATAAATCAACTTGTCAATTTGAAGATACATTTTGACATAATGTCAACATTAGTATTAATATTAGTAATTTTAATAGTATTATTGTCACTATAATAACAATAATAATAATAATAATAATAATAAAAACAGTACTGTCAAAACAAGTAAACGGAAAATGTCATGTCTAGTACAGTTGAACTATTTCGCAAGAGTATTAACTAATGCTATGACATTATATTTAGACTAATGTCGAAAATTTGGAACAGTCTAAAAGATATCTTAATGACGGAAATACACATAAATCATGTTATTGTGTGTGAATAAGTATTTAAACTTAGTTGCGGTTTCTAAAATTAATAATTATAAAATTAATTCTACATATGAATATATTATATACACACAAATATGTACTTACTCAACTTAAAAAATTAATCAACCAAATAAATAAATAAATAATTAATTAATACATGAAAAACACAGAGAAGATATTAATAAATATGAACTTTAGATTATTTTACCAGTAAATCCTTTAATATCAGCAAATAAAATGCTGACATTTTCATAACGGTGAAGATATATCCTGTGAAATTGATTTGGTGTGAATGAAAATGTTCCACCACTTGCTGTCTCGCGAGCAATATCTCTTATCATTTCTTTAGCTACAAAATCTGGAAGAACTAAAATTTTTTTTTTTTTTAATTAATAATTAAATAAAAAAATTTGGAAAATCCAAAAGTTTACGCCTCATAATCTCATTTTTTTACAATAAAATTGATTAAAAGCAAAATAATAAAAAACAGAAAACTGCTGTGCTTTAGTGACGCCATAACTCTAAGATAAGGAAAAAATGTACAGTCATATATTCGTTTTTTTATAAATAATAATTTAACGACAGTGAATTAAACGCTCATAATTATTGAAAAAATCCTAAGTGTGTTACTTTAGATAATTAAAAAAAAGAAAATTATTCCGGTACGAATGAAAATTATAAGTTAGCCGACATCTAAAAATTTTTAGAATTTTTTTTTTTTTTATTGAAAAAAAAAATTTCATTTGTAAAAAACTGTAAGTGCAATTTTTAAAAAATATTTTTTTGTTCTAATTTAATTATCAAAAAAAAATCAAAAAATTAAAAATGTTGGCCTGGAAAATTATTTGACTTAATATAATTGTACTCATATTAACTTGTAAGTGCGATATAAATAACAAAAATCAATTTCAGTTTTGAGAAAACTGCTTTTTTTTTTTTAAATGTCGAGAATAAAGCACTCTAGCTCAACGCTTCGCTTATGAGGCGTCCAATAAATATCTTAAATTATACATCTTCTCACCAATATAAATATAAATAACAAAAATTGTAAATCTAAAATTATTTAAAATCTATTATTATAAATTTTTAGCCTATTAATCGTAGTTAATATTATAATAGAGTTTAAAGGGAGATTTATTGAAATTTAAAATCGATTAATGGCCATAAATACCCCACAGGGTCATCGAGACTACTATATACAACAAAACCAATCGACTGTAAATCCACAAGGCGATTCTTTTGACATCCGGTGAGGCGCATCTTACGGGCCACCGGTTAAGAGTTATAGTGTCTCTTATCCACTATGCCCCAGAGTTTTTTTATTTACGTGTCACTGATACTCGCAAAACGCCGTAATAACAAAAAATATTATTGAACAAATAAAAATCTGAGAAGCCAAACTCCAACCAGCAAATTAATACCTGAAAGCAACAGCTTTTCCTGTCTGTTATTTTCATTTTGGGTTCTCTGGCGGGTCTCCATCGACCTGTGAGTCTCCAGGAAGGCTTGCCGCTGTCCGCGGTCCGTCAGGTACTTGGTGTACATCCCCGCGAGGTTGACTGCAAAGTACAGCAGGGTGTTTGTCGTCAGCATTCTAATTACACAGACAACGTCTTTTAGCTGGAAGAAAAATTTTATTTTTTTTTAGAGAGATGTAAACAAAACATTAATTACACATCTGATGTTAATCATCATAAAATTATGAAAATTAAATTAGCCATCTGGAAATTTTTATTGAAAAAATTAAGAGTAAAAATTCCACTTGTTTAAAATTATAAGTGGAATTTTTTTGACTTGTAATTTAATTGTTGAAAAAATATAAAATTGTCGGCTAATTTTAGTATGTAGTACCGTCATAAAACTTACGTAATTAGAATTGTAAAAAAGCGTGGTAATTATCATGGTCATGTGGCTGAGTGCGGTACCAGAACCAGCAAGCACGCACCATCTCAGCGGCAGCGGGAGCATTGCATACGGCGCGTAAACAACGAACAGTATGTACCACATTATGCGCTGCTGAGATGAAAAATTTAATCCAGCTGCTATAAATCCTATAATTTATTTACAAATTATTTAGATTTATTGTGTTTAACTATCTGCAAGATATTTTTTATAGCCAGTAGTATATTTATAGAATATGGTTAAATTAATAGACCTGTCATTTTTTTTGACACTGAAATTAGCTCAACACTTGACAATTTTTTTTTTATCTTTAAAATAATAGTCTAGAAAATTAATTCAGCGGATATTTTATTATTTTTATAACAAATAAATTATGGCGAAAAAATGACATTAAAATTAGCAGTCACCTGCCCATTTTTTAATTTTTTTTTTAGCAAACAAATTTGTTCGAAAAAATAATTTTAAAAAATTTCATTTTGAATTTTTTTAAATTTCTACATGTCAATTTTTTTTTAAGATTTTTTTGCCATAATTTATTTGTTAAAAAAATAATTAAAATTATTCAATATCTGCTAAATTAATTTTCATGCAGTCACACGACAATTTTTTAATTTTATTTAAACAAAAAAATTTGTTCCAAAAAATTATTTTTAAAAAATTTCATTTTTTTAATTTAAAAATTTTTACATGTCAGTTTTCTTTTTTAATTTTTTTTTTAATTTTCATAAAAAAAAAAAAAAATTGACATGTAAAATTTTTAATAAGTTAAAAATAATTTTTTTGTTAAATAAAATTTATAAATGCTCAACTTGACAGCTAACTTTAATATTATTTTTATTTGTCATAAAAATTATTTCTATAAATAACAAATAAATTATTAAACACAAATTTTAATTAAAAAAAAATTTTTAATTTCAATAACATTAATAAGAAAACATAATAATAATAATAATAATAATAATAATAATAATAATAATAATTGTGTATGTAGAATAAACACTTACTTACATACGTCGTATTTCATTAACAAATTTAAAATTTCTCAAGAACGTTAAAATACCTTGGATATTTATAAGCAGCCAAGTGCATATAGATGCCCAGTAAAGATAATTGGGCGAGAACCACCGCCACAGTCCTACTACGCACACAACAATATTAGCAAGCATGCAGCATGATACCCAAGACAATGTCTGAATTAAGCTGCTGCTGCGTTCATTTCTCCTCCATAGCCACATAGAAATTATAGCAATCTATAAATTATAATTGTTTAATAAAATGATTTTAAGCTAGGTTGAAGCTGTCATCCCATTGCTTGGAACTTGCAATTGTTGGTGAAGAAAAATTACCTTGAGACCAAGATCGACAACGTTTAGCATCATCAGCGATTTCTGACGTTGCCGGCATGAGTACTGGAAATATGATTTCTCTAAACTCGGACTATGGAATGCGTTTGTTAACGACGGGCAAAATATTCCTTTGTACATACGCCCACGCTTAAATACATCTGCAAGGTAATTATTATTTTAGTGATATAAATTAAGTATAAAGATAAGTGCTGAGAAAATAAACTATTTTTAAGCTAAATGTCTGATTTAAATTATATTATTTTTTAAATAAAAATTTGTTTGTTTTCTCAGAAGAAATAAAATATGATACTGTAATTAGCAGAGATTTGAAATTTTTTAATTTTTCTTTAAAAATAAACTAAGTTTAGAAAATTATTGTTAAAAAATTGCATTTATTATTTTTTAAATGTTTCTAAAGATTAAATTTTCTCAATAAATTTTTCTAGCTATAATTTATAAATTAAAAAAATTCTAAAAATTATCAAATTATTATAATAAAATATGACCCTGAAATTTGCAGACACTTTTTTTATTTTTCCTGAAAAATAAGTCTAAAAAATTATTTTTAAAAAATTGTATTTATAATTTTTTAAAGTTTCTAAAAATGAAATTTTTTAAATAAATGTTTCTTGCTATAATTTATTTAAAAAAAATTAGCAGACTTGAAAATTTTTTTAATTTTCTTTAAAAATAATCTAAAAAATTGCATTTATAATTTTTTAAAGCTTCCAAAGATGAAATTTTTTTTTTCTCTAATTAATTTATAAAAAAAAATTTCTAAAAATCATCACAAGTATCTAAAAATTCCAGTATCACAATAAAATAAAAGAAAAAACTCGAGACTTTGTTGGCAAGGAGGTTCTTCTGGTTTTTCAGGTTCATCTTGAAGAACAGCAGCTTCGGGCGGCGCAACAACGAGGGTGACTTCTTCCTTGTCGCAAGCCTTAGCTTCATCTTGTTGTTGTTCATCTTCTTCTTCCTCGAGCGGTGGCGGACCGACGCCCCAGGCAGCAAGACCTTCTCTTCCGAGCCGTTCGGACGTGAGCTTCTTCACCGCTTTGATCCATAACTGTTTCCTCGGAGAAATACCCAACCTTTTAGGAAACCATGCAAGAAGAAGAAGAAGAAGAAAAAGAAGAAACAGATAAATTAAAATAACCGCAAAATTTCTTCTTGGAGGTGGTACTGATAATTATATTATATTACTTTACATACTCGTCGATGCCTGGTACGTCGGGTTCCAGCATCATGGTCCAAGTCTGTTCTGTAATCATTATCTCTCGATGATGAGAATTGCCCCCGTGCCTTTATATTTCTTCTATAGTGAACTTCACGTAGCCATTTAATTTAAATAAGCTTACGCGGTTCATCACTACCCTGCATGCTTGTCTGCCAGGTCATTGGTGGTAAGGATGGAGAATATTACACAGGCAACACTGATTTACAGTGATTAAATACAAACAGGGTTGGATTGATTGATAATATTATGTAGAGATGCCTAAATAATTTTTCTTCACCTGCAACGCAAAAATTTTGTTTGGCTCTGGCACTTTTTTTTTTTTTTTTTTTTTTTTTTTTTTCACATCTTCACCGCTTTTTTCAGATATTCTATTTATTTTGAGTCTGAAGAAATATCACCAAAACAACAGAACATTCAGAACCACTAATTTAAGCTGCGCGGGAGGAAGCAACAAGTAGTTTTTATCATTCAAGACATTTAAGCAAGCTTGCTATAATTATTCTAAATAAAAGTAAGTAAAATAAATAAAAATCTAAATTAAATAAATAATAATAAATATAACAATCTAATTAAGCCACACCAATTTTAGCCATACAAGCCTTTTTTTCATTACATTTCTTCATTATCCTTTATGGTGATTTGATTCCAATCAGCCGGATTAGTTGTTAACACGCGATGCTATAATTGTTACTATAATTATTAATTAATTAATTAATTAGTTATGATGTGATGGATGATTAATTACTATTAATTACGTATTATCAACAGTGTATTTAGTAGTCTAATAGGGAAGCAAGCATGTTATTCATTACTTGCCTTGCTTTTACTTGCGCTTTTACCTTTTTAGACCGATTGACTCTCGTCAACTGGTTAACTCTCCGTTTGAAAGCCACTGACCGGCCGCCTTGTCGTTATCCATTGACGTCACTAAAATAAACTAAGCATGCTTTCATCCCCTCTTAATAATTCTTTTTTATTTATTTCACTATTATTAATTAATAGCCTACTATTACTATTCAATTATTTATTCTAAGATTTACTATTAAATAATTATTGCAAGAAATATATATATTTTTTTTTTTTTACTAATTTTTATTTAAATTCACATAAAATAATTATTTTAATTATTATTTAATTATTTATTTTAAGATTTACTATTAAATAATTATTGTAAAAAATATTTTTTTTTAAGTAATTTATTTTAACCGATAATTAAATTTTCTGCTTAATATAATTTTCACACCAATTAGTACTTAAAACTTTTACATTAATAATTTTTTACAATATAAAAATAATTAAAAAAATGATTTATAATTATTATATGAACGATTTTTATTAATTGCTTTTTTACATTGAAATATAACTATTAAAAAAATACATTTCAAAAGTTTTACATAAAAACATTAAATATTATTATTAATTATTAATATAATCGCTTAAACGATTTTATGCTGAGATTTAATAATCTTTACAGCAAGTATTTCTTTTCTTATTAATATTGTCTAATAATACTGTATTCTTCATTATCAAGAACGTACACAGTACGCTATTAATTATTAAATAACTTTCTCATTGTTAAATACTTAAACTTTGTCTTTTAATAACAAGATAAATGAAGAATAAAATAATATACTTCTTTAAATGTATCAACGCCCGTAAAAAATTGGACCCAAAAAAAATAACTGAGCGATAACAAAAAATAATAATTATATTATTAAAAATAATAATAATAATAATAATAATAGCATCAATAAACACAGCCAGGGGTTTAACCAGACCCTCATATTGCTTAAAGTTGTATTAAATACGGCACATAGTCGTAGGCCGGATATTTTAATTGCTTGCAAGCTTTATAAATATTGTTATTACTATTAATATTTAATATCATTGAAGTTATTTAATCTCGATAAATAAACGTTTGTTAATTTATATAATAAAGGTTTTGAATAATGCAATAATAATAAGGATAATAAATAAGAAAAAAAATAATAATCTTGTTACGTTGTACCAAAGCTTAAATATCAAGTTTCATTAATTCTGAGAGAATGTTCTTGTCTTCACTGCCAGACGTGTCGATAAGTTCCAAAGAGACGATTTGTTTTGTTGGACTCACTGTGTCTGGTTCAATTTTTCTAATTATTGACACAAAATCTTTTTCTCCAACAAGTTCTTTGAATTTACTGTCGAGCTGCGGTTTGGAGTTTAATTGTTCATGGCCTGAATAAAAAAAAAAATTTTATTAATTATATATATATATATAAGATTAATTTATTATTATCACTGTCAATAATTTTCATAGAGATTTTATGACAAAAGTATTGAAAGCGATTATTTTTTAATAATAATAATTACTCAAGTTGAAAAATAATAAAATTTTTTTAACAATTTAAAAAAAAAAATAATTTTAATCCTTATAAAATTATTAAAAAATTAATTTGTCAGAATAATAATAGTAATTATAATAATAATAATAAAAATTTGTCATAATTAAAAAAAAAAAAAAAAAAAGAAATAAAAATATAAAAACAGTGACGAATAAATAAATAAAAATAAAAAAAAAAAATCCTTGCCATATAGCTTAGCTTTAATTCCTTGATAAGGAATCGTCAAAAATTCATCTGCCAGCGGTTTCAACTCACTATTATCCAGGTTGCGCATAACCCCAGAGTCGCACAAATAAACGATAGTAGACCTTGCATCAAAAACTCCCGCTACCATAGCGCGTTGCCATTTATTATCAACCTTAGCAGCGCAGAGACTATCAACAGTACCAAAATCTTCATTCTTGACAAAACTTTTACTCCCCTCACAATAAGCCTGAAGCTCTTCCTCAAGAATAGTCAAAGCCTCAGTTCCATGATACGGCTGGACAACAAAATGATTAGGACCCGTGACAGTCTGAGTAACATGAACATCAAAAAACTCTCCAATATTAGGAATCTCCGGCTTGCTCATAATCTCAAGACCTTTTGGAGATAAATTAGTCTTCGAATTTTTCCTATCAAAAATTCTCGACTTGGGCTTTAAATTATTATTCTTGTCCTCGTCTTCCGCACTGACCAACTGAAGGGCAAGAGTATTATTAATAGAAATCAAAGAATAATCCTTGTCCTTTCCTCCGCGTTTAAACAACTCGACAACAGCCAACGAGTCCTTAGCTTCCTTGATGACCTTGCAGAACAATTTAACCTTAGGCGGCGCCATTTCCCTCAGAGGCTTCAAAATTCTCTTGTCACTCAGCACGCTGGTCCTCGTGTTGTGCAACTGAATCCCACAAGTCTGCACCGGATACTTTTCCACCGCCGCAGCAAGCAATTTAAGATTATTATCATGAGCCGGCGGGATCATTTGGATCCTAACGAGCTGTGAAGCGCTGACGACCATCGTCTTGCCAATGTCAACCAGCAGAACATTGAGCCGATCTCCTTGGGGTTGCTGGATGACTTTGACCCTGGCCATCGGTCCTTCTGGCAAGCGAACCAAGTAAGCAACATCTCTGGTGACCCAGCTCCACTTAACCGCAGCTCTTTTAAGAACTTCATCATTAATTTCCGCAGTAAGTTTCTCAATCAAGGCACTCAATACCTCAAACGAGTCATTATTTATCTGAATAAAAACCCCACCAGTGTCCTCATCAACGTGCGATAAATAAACCTCAAGAACCTCGCCCTCGCTGGTTAATTTCGGACTGCTCACAGTTTTAATCAGTTTCTCAAGAATCAAATCATTGACATTGATATCTTCATCAGTGCTGGTGTCATAAAACACTCCGTTTATCAGCACGCCCAAGTCATTCTTCTCTCGGCTCATAACTTGCACGTAGCAGGATAAGTTTGTCAGTAACTCAACGCCAATCTTGTTAATGACATTGTAACTGGATAGCTCATCATACCCCGCAATGCTGAACCTCACAGCCTGGGGAGCCAGTTCGTAGAAGCTCCTATCTAGAGTACACAGATCATTCAAGCTGACTGTATCAACATCTCCGGTGTCAATAAAAAAAACATCCGCACTCTCGCTCTCGGTGTCAATAAAATCCACATAAACCCGCTGCCAAGTGTCGTCTTTCTTCACGGCATAGTACCTCTTGACTTTAACCGAAGCAGGCTTGGGCTGGACCTTGCTGTAGAACACCTCAATCTTGTCAGTCATGGTGTCTCTGCGCAAACAGTAATCATCATCAAGAATAATCCCGTAGACCTCCTCGGTGCTGATCAAGCTCGTGATGTAAACCGGCCAGAGCTCTTCTTGAGGCAGCACCAGCTCCGGCATAGGCGGCTGGTCTATGTCGTCAGTCGCCGGGTTGTAAGGCAGCAGGATTATCCCGTCATTCAGAACTTTTTCACAAGTTATTTTAGAGAAACAACTCGCGAGGACATTGTCCCAGTCCAGCGGCAGAGTTTCTTTGTACTTCTCCTGGTAGTACTGAGGAAGCTTGTGCTTGAATATTCCACTGGTGTGGTTGTCGTTGATGACAATGTCAATCACTCGGTCTTTTATCACTGCTTTATCAAAAGTAATTGGCAACTGGACCTGCGACTGGTACTTTACTCTCAAGTCGGCAAGAGCTTGCTCAGCGGCAATTATTTCAGCGTCGTTTTTAGTCTTAGCGTCCGCTGGGTAGCTGCTGAACTTCATGCTCCCGATTGTTATTTGGCTGTAGACAGTCTTGGGGTTGCGCTTGCCGCTGTCGGTGCACACATACTCTGGAGGCGGGAGGTTCATCTGGAAAGCCAGGTCGGTCAGCTCTTCCCGAGGGTCGTTGAAGGATCTGGGAGTCAGTGGTGGAGTCAGAGGCAGTTGTTTGATACCTGGATTAACGTTGGGTTTTATTTCGACGGAAGGCGCGAATGTTACCCGCTTGTCGGCGTTACAAGGTGTCTCAGGCTGCTTGGGCTCGATAATTGGTGGAGAAAAAGCCAGTGGGTTCTTCAGACGCTCGCTCAGAGGTTTTAATTGAGGCTTCGGTCCAGAGTCATTGAAAGTCTCGCTTGTTTTACTGCTGTAATTAGGAGACAATGGCTTCGGCTTGAAAGAAGTGTTTGTTGGAGACACTGGAGACTTCCGATCAGTCGGAGGTATCAATGGTGGAATGTTTCCTGAGGAATTTATCCGTCGAGTTACGGAGAAGGAAGATCCTGACATGTTTTGAGCTTGACTGTTTCTTCCCATTGAAATATTGTGCAGGTTGCTGACCCGGTGGTTCATCGGTGGAGACGTTGAGGAAGACTGATTTTGGAAGCCATTGTTGGCTCGCGCTGGAGCTCGGTCAGCTTCGGGCTTCGAAGACGATTGTTGGAACCCATTCTGGGGCTTTGGCATGTAAAATCTGTCATCTGGCTTCTTCTGGCTGCCGTTGCAACCGAAATTTTGTGCTCTGGTAGCCTCGGATCTAGAAGAAGAGTTTGAGGACCAATTTCTGGTGGTCGGTTGGTCGGCTGGTCGGTGCAGAGACTGACTGCGGCCGTACCTCGCGGAGAAATTCGGTCGCGGGTTGGAAGAATACCTGCCTGCTGATGAGGACCTGTTGTAGTTGCCTGAGTAAGTGTTTGTGGGACGTCTTGATGACATTGGCTTTGACTTGGGGGTCTTCTGTCTGGAGATCAAGTCCGCCAGGTGCTTGTTCTTCTCATCAACTAGCGCTTGAGCGTAGATCGTACCGTTTCTGGATACTAATCTTATTGTTGGCACGTCTTTAAGAAATTCGAGGATGTTCGCGTAACCGTATTTTCTGAAGGGAATGTACTCCTCGAACATGTCCTTGTAATCCCGGTTTATGTTTTCGACTGCTACTCCTCCCTTGTACGCCAGCAGCATCGATTTTAATGTTTTACCGATTTCTTCCATCGTGATTGATTTTATCAATTACGTGGAGAAGTTTTTTTTTCTTCGAGTTATCTGTAATTTTTTAATATTTAGTTAATATTTTTTATTTATATAATTAGTATTTTTTAATATTTTTATTCAAATAAATTTGAAATAAAAATTTTTAATATTCATTTTTTTTTTACTGTAAAAAAAATTTTATTTGGTTCAAACTAAATAAAGTTTGTATATTTAAAAAGTTAGTATATGTTTGCACTTATTCAAATATCAATTAAATTCTCTGAAGTATAAAAAAAAAATTTATTTATATTTTCTAAAAATAATTATCATACGATTAAGTTGATTTTATTGTAATATAAAATTTCTACATTTAATAAAATTATTTTCAAATTTTTGAAAATATTTATTAAAAAAAGATTTTTTTACTTTATTAATTAACTACTTGTATTTTTTTTATTCAATTATAGCTGCGTTGTATATTTTTAGGCACAAGATTTAGAAATTCGAATCGTAAAAATAAAAATAGAATAGTTTTTTTTAATTGATCTGATAATAATACAGAAAGTGCCAGAAATTCAACAATATTTGTAACATTATTACATTTTGTCAAATGTTTTTCTAAAATTACCTTTCAATCATTGTTATACTAATTATTAGTTGTAATAATAAACAAAGTACACTGACCTCGAAGTAATAGTCGGGCATTTGCCACCTCCGGCAATAAAATGACAAAAGATTTATCAGCAGAGAAAGTCAAGCACCACTGATATCAATCTGCAAGACAAAAGAAAAATGATAACCATTAGATCCTCAACAAAACTATGTATCTAAATATTAAATGTCCCACAAAAAAGTCTGTTAATATAAATACAATATAACATCTAAGTACTGTGAATAAAAAGTATAAATTAACCATAATTATATGTTATTAAATAAAAAATGCCGTGACATTTTTAATGAAAATTAAAATAGCTGACATCTGAAAATTTTTATTATTTATTTTATTAAAAAAAAAAAAAAAATTAAAAGAAAAAAAAATGCAATTTTTAATTTTTCAATATTATATTATGTAAAATAAATAAAAAAAAAAAATTATACGACATTAAAGTTAGCAGTCACTTCACAATTTTTTAATTTTATTTAACAAAAAAAATTTCTTCGAAAAAATTAATGTTAAAAAATAGCATTTTTAATTTTTTAAAATTTCTACATGTCTATGTTTTTTTTCTAATTTTTTTTTGCACTAATTTATATCTTAAAAAAATTCTAAAATTTATTAAATATCTGATAATAAAGTTAGGCGACGTTTTTAATTTTTTTTTTACTAATTAAATTAAAACAAAAAAATATTTTTTAAAAATTGCTCTTACAAATGAAATTTTTTTATATTAATTTTTTCAATAAAAAAAAATTCTAAAAATTTTTAAATGGCTAACTTAATTTCCATAAATATCTGGTACATTAATTTTCATAAAAATTACAGCTAGTACGTGTATGAAAGCTTAAATTGAAGACTCGATAAATAGAAAGGAATTAATAATAATTCCATGCTGTCGGCACATTTTGTCTGATGATTAAATATGTATTGGTAACTCGCACCTATATCAGCAAGCTATTAACAACTTATCTTGAGTAATAATTGTTGAAAAGTTCATTACCATATGGTAATGAAATAAAAAAAAATGATTAATCGAAATGGTTAAAAAGTAGAACAAAGAGACGGTGGGTACTTACGGGTTTTTATCAATAGAAACAAGTTACGGGAAATAATGGACAACCACACCGTAGAATGGGCAGGACTTAACTGGACTGGATTGGAATCACTACCAACAAAAGCAACTTGGTACGATGACACACACAACCAACCGAGTGTATCTGTGCAACAACTCTCTCGCGCTCCTTGCTCGAGTGTTGGTGAGCGCTAGAAGTTTAGGTACCAAAGTGGTGGTAAAAAAGATGACGGCAAGGAGAAGAGTTGGTATATATATACTTACACAAATAAATAGCTGAGCTTTTAAAGAAGTCAGGTTAGGTATTATATAGCAAAAGTCAATGACCAATGACCAATCAGACAACTCGGTTGACAAGCATGACCTGTCACACGTTAATCCACCAGAAAAACATTACACGGTCTACGCGTGGTAAGTGGTGCCCTCACTCGCTGTCGTTATCATCAGCACATCGCATTAAATTCCGATTCCGGTTGACGGCTGACGCTGACACGAATCCCGTTGTGCGTTGCGCTCAAAAATTCCTCAACGAAAGTAAAACACATGGATGTTTTATGTATGGATGTTATGTTGATGTAAGTGTGTACTTGATACTTAGATACTTGGTATGTATTTTAAATAAGTTATATACGCATGACATTCCTCATATTACATGGCATATTTATATTTAAATATATATATATATATATATATGCTAGTGCAAGTTTTATAGGTAATACAATGACTATTTAAGAGTTCATTGAATTAAATTATTTTTAAAATAATGAAAATTAAATTAGCCGACATCTAAAAAAAAATTGCATGATTTTTTTTTGACACTGAAGTATGACACTGAAGTTGGCAGACGTCTAAAAATTTTTGATTTTTCTTTTTCAAGTAAATTACAACTAAAAAGATATTTCTAAAAAATTGCACTTGTAGTTTTTCAAGTTTTTTACAGGTGACAATTTTTTTTTTAATTGTTTAATTGAAATTTCTTCAAAAAAATTTCTAAAAATTTTGAAATGTCAGTTAACTACATTTTCATATTTTTTTTTTATTAAAGAATTATTACAAAAAGAATTTTTGATTTGTTAAAAACTTAAAAAATTACAGTGCAATTTTTTTAAAAATATTTTTTAGTTTTAAATTAATAAATTAAGCAAAATAAAGAAATTAAAAATGTCGACTAACTTTACTATTATTTTTTAAAATATAAACACTAAAGTTAGCCGACGTTTATAATTTTTTTAATTAAATTAGAACTAAAAAATATTTTTTAAAAATTGCACTTTAATTTTTATGAAAATTAATTTAGCAGATATTTTATAATTTTAATAATTTTTAAAAATTATTAAACAAAAAAAAATGTAGACGTTTAGAAAATTTGAAAAACTATAAGTGCAATTTTAAAAAATATTTTTTTAGTTCTAACTTAACTAATGAAAAAAAAATAAAAATTTCTTTACTGACATGTGAGGCTTGAAAAAAGGTTTCGGGATTATTTTTATTGGGGCTAAACATTGTGACCTTGAGCGTATTGTAATTGAGAGTACTTGGCATCAGCGACAATAGTTTCGGTCTAGACCTACTTTGTATTGGTGTTTATATTATGGAAAGAACACTTTTGTCATTACAAATTGTTTTTGATAAGTTAATAGATTTTTTACAGCTTAGTACAAGAAAAGAAAACCTTAATCGGTCAAGAATTGGTGCATTTACCCTACTTGTACATGAATAAAAAAATTTTTACTATTTTGAATTCTACTTTCTTGGTTTTGGAACTGGTCTTCTGTCCGGACTCACTTCAAACACCCGGTATTTAAAAAATTTCTTCGGAGCAGATTCTTTTTTTGCAGCCTCCTCCTCCTGACTTGGCTTGTATATCGGCTCTCTTCTTTTAACTCCTCCAGTCGCCTCCGAATTTGTTGGAGTACTGTTGGGATTAATAGAGCCGCTTGGTGATTTTTTCATGCTACGGTACTTTTTGTTCCTAAATTATGTATTACAACAGTAATTCATATACTTGAAATTATTAAGTTTTATCAGCACATACTAAACCACGCTCACAAATTTTGATCCTGACTATTTTTTGATGAAGAAAGGTCAGCGCCACAGACTAGATAAAATAAAAATGTGTATAGTCCAGTTGAGAAGAGGCAAAATAAAAATCTTAAATCAAAAGAAACTATTTTTCACATTATACCCCGTGAAGTCTTACGCGATATAACCAGAAAAATTACTCGGTTAAATTGAAAACCACGGAGTACAGTCCAAAACTCTCAAAACTCTTTGAAGGATATTGACTATAGTTTGAAATTTTTTTTCACTATGAATACCACAGAGTGTACTGTACGAGGATGTACAGTGAGTTATTGTTCTTTCCGTGAACACTTCGCACAGAAATTTCGCCGGATTTTTCTATTTATATTTTTTTATTATTTCCTACTTGAGAGGCTATAAAAGTATTTTTAGAAAAATGAATGGTTACACTGTTTGAAATTTTAGTTCAATATTATCCGATACAATAAATTTGTATTTATTTTCAAAAAAATAAATTTAATTTTTAATAATTGATCTCAAATAGAAAAAAACAATTACATTAATTTTTTTAAATGTAATTTAAGCTTTAATTTTTTTTTTTTTAAATAGAACTATTCATAAATCTTATTGACATATTAGTAATCCACCGATAACATTAACAAATAATTTTAAGAACATTAAATTAAATACAAAAGAAAAACAAACAATTTTATTTAATCTTATCAGAAATTAATTTTTATTTTTTTTCCAACATATAACATATATATGTTTATTAACTTACATTCAATCTGTTGAATGTCAAGCCATAAATATGACAAATAACTAAAAGATTTTTAGTCAAATATAATTTATAGAAAAGGAAAAAGATAAATTCAGTACAGTAGCATGATTTAAATTAAGGATTATCACGACTCGCGCTTCGTTTAAATGTCATAGAACGTAACTCAGTCGAAGTAGATGTTAAGTCATTTTTACTGGATCCTTTTCCAGGCGTAGGACTTTCTGACAACGAAGCACGATCGTCGTGATTAGATTTCTCACGTTCTAATCGTTGCTTACTAAATTTACCCATTCCCGGTCGATAGATTTCCATAGCAGGACGGTCCTTTTAAAAAAATAAAAACACATTAAAAAAGCAATGAATATAATAAGCTGAGCAATTTAATAATTACTTTGTTTCTAATTCGACGTTCTAGACGTGGATCTTTTTTGCTTTTGCCTTTGTAGTCACTGTCATTTTTCTGTAAGTTATCCTCCTCTCCACCGTCCAGCGATTTGTGTCTCCGGAGGAAAGCACCATCTCCACCGCCTCCGCCTCCTCCACTTTCCAAAGAACTTCGTCTTTTCACAACCTTCATTTTGTACGCCTTGCTAAAACTCTTTTTGACGCTCTCAATTTTAAAAGTTTCTTCAAGTTTAGCAGAAGCTTCTTTATCGTCTTGCGAATCATCCGGCAATTCGTTAGACAATAAGGCTTCACAGTCTTTACTTTCGTCATTACATACAATCTTAATTGGTAAAACAACTTGGTCATTTTTGGTTTCACTTTTTTCAGGATTATCTCTGGGCTTTTCCTTCGGCAAATCTTCGTCTTTTTTAGCTTCAGCAGCTCGTCGCTTTTCCTGTCGCATTTTTTCATAACTCTTGCCTTTCTTTTCTTCGACTGACTTGTCTTTCTGGTAAAAACCAGACTCTTCCCGAGAACTTTTAGCTTCTCGCCTGTCTTCTTTAGCATAATCATCTCTTCTGTATGGTTTTTTGTCTTCATATTTTTTATTCGCCGGCTTATTATCTCTATCGTGTTTTTTATCTTCACGATCACGGTAACTTTTTCCTAAAGGCTTTGGATCTCGATCACGGGATGCTAAAACTTTGTCACGCTTCATGTCTTCTCTTTTACGATTTTTTACTTCTTTTGGTGATATTTTTTCTTTGTCATTATTTTCTTTATTTTCTCGATTACCTTCTCGTTCAATTTCTGGATTTTTCAATACCTATAATCATAAAAAATTTAATAAATATTATTTTTTTTTATATGAATATCTTTAAACAACAACAATAATAATAATAACTAGCAACCTTGCAGTCACTATGTGACTGCCGTGACTTGTGAACTATACATAAATAAAATTTTACTTTATTAAATAATGACTTTTGTTAAATTGCACTGTATTTTTTTAACTATTGACGTTTTTAAAGATATAAGCTCATCCCGATGCTGCACTTATCAAGAGCTTTCATTTGAGTACCCACATGCATTTTCATAAATTTTTAATATACACATATATATTTTAAAGATATAAGCTCATCCTGATGTTACACTCATCAAAAACTTTCATTTGAGTACCCACATGCATTTTTATATATTTTTCATATATTTATATATATATATATAATATATATAAATATATGAAAAATTGATGTGGGTACTTAAATGAAAGGTCTTGATGAGTGTAACATCGGGATGAGCTTATATCTTTAAAAATGTCAATAGTTTACGAGATATAAGGTCATTTCTTAATTATGTATTTAGAGATGGAGCATTTTCAAATGCAGCCTAAATTTTTACCTCAAAATTTTGCTTATTCTCTTAATAATATAGATAATAATATCCTAAGCTTTAAGCATAAACTTTTATTATTATTATTATGATTGATATATATAAAAAAAAATACCTTAGACACTGTTGGTAATTCATCTTTTGAACGACGTCTTTCAATATCACGTCGACGTCTTTCCTCACGTTTTTCATCTTTAACTCTCTGCTTTTCTGCTTTACGTTGTTTTAAATATTCCAGCAATGGTGTGGTCGTAACTTTTTTTTGTGTATCTATTTAAAAAAAAAAAAAAAAAAAAAAAAAAAAAAAAAAATCAATGAATAACATTTAATAAAATAATAACTAAAAAATTTTTCAACTAAAAAAATAAAAATAAACTTACTATCAAATGGCTGATAAGAATATTCAGTTTTAGGTTGTGGTACAGCAGCATCAGCCTCCTGGTTCTTCAAACTCTCCAGAAAATTAATATAATAAGTGTCTGTCTCAATAGTTCCGCACTTGGGATCCTTTTTTCTACCAACTCGTTTCTTTGGCAGTCTCTGAAATGGCGCAAATTCCACAACTGCTGGGTACTCGACACCCTTGGCGTCAACGAACACATAGTTATCAAATTTTTCCCGGAAAACAAAAATGTCCTGCTGGTCAATGAAATTTATGTAAGCACGTGAGAATGAATTTTGCCCCAAAGAAGTATCAGCTTTTACAAAATGAAGGTAGTCATTGTCAGGTAACGGGGATATTTGCTCAATAAACTGTGCCTGGTTCATCAACGGTGGAAGTCTTCTGATTACGACCTAAAATAAAATTATACGTAGATTAACAAAAAGGAAAAAAATTTATTTAATAATTTTTAATGAAAATTAATTTAGCAGGTTTGATAATTTAACAAATAAATTATGGCAAAAAAAAATTGACATGTAAAAATTAAAAATGCAATTTTTTAAAAAATAATTTTTTGGACCAAATTTGTTTGTTAAATAAAATTAAAAAATTTTCAAGTGACTGCTAACTTTAAAGTCATACAAAAACATGTTAACTTAACCTATAAGTCCAAACTTTTAGATTAAAAATAAAATAGAAATAAAAATTACCTTGGTCATGGGTTTACATTTTTCTTTTTTATTATCAGGTTTATTTTTTGTAACTTCAACATCCTGGTGATGATTTTCAGCTGGCAAAAAATTACTTGTGGTAGTTTTTGTCGTGTTACTGCTATCAAGCTGCTTGATTTCCTCAGTCATTTTAAATATTTTTACACCAATAAATTTATACTATCAACACCATTTATTATTCGGCAGTTTTTTAATTATCAATGACTAGTTATTAGAACATTAATCATTTAATAAATTGATTTTTAAATATAAATATTATTTTATATTTACAGAATTTTGTGCTCACTTACTGATTCTAACTACAATAAAAGTAAACACTTTTTTTTTTTTCTAGATTTCAAGTCGGTAAAATTGGACCAGGATAATACCAACTTTTTTCGCATGCGCGCGCTTTTTTTAAATTAACATTTAATCGAATGATAATAATTTGAGATATATAAAAAATTTTTTAATTTTTATAAAATTATTTATCATTAATTAAAAATCTTTATTTTTAAAAATAAAAAATACTTATTAAAAAAAAAAGTTTGCTTGAAAATTATGACACTGAAGTTAACAGACGTTATATATGACATAGCAGACATATGACAATTCTTGGAATTCTTACAACCAATCAATTATTATAAAAAAAAAAAATATTTAAATGCTAAGTAATTTTCATTATAATTTAATTGTCATAAAAATCTAAAAAATTGTTATATCTTTGGTGAATTCAGTATTATTATAAATTCTACCCGCAAGCTTAAAAAAAAGTTATTTCTATTTTCGCTCCACCTTAATATTCATATCCTTAGTGAATAATAGTTTTTATTTAAGAACAACAATTACTTTTCAAAAATTATAATAACATTTTTATTACTGTTAGTACTTCATTGCTTGATTGTCCAGACCCATTTTTATTCCCAACTCAATTTCGTTTACATATTTATGAAAGCGCAGTTGATTTTTAACATGTTCGATTATTACAATAATCGATTCTGTCGAAATTTTAGTCAACTAAGTCAACTTAAAACCGAAGAGGTTATGTTATGACAGAATTTATCGGAGTATTTAAATAAGTTTTTTGTTAATTTTTATCACTCTCGTTGCAATAAATAACGTTTGTTTTATTTTTTAATTGTTGTTATAAGACATATTATCAAATAAATTTAACAAGTTAATTATTTGGATAATTAAATTAATAAAGCTTTATTATTGCTTAGAGTATTGATTATAAATAATAAATCTTTAGTAATAAGTATTTTATGTTTTTTAATTCAAATTGATTTTTCTATTTGAAATAAGTTTTTGATTTTTTTTTTAAATTAAAAATTAGAATTAAAAAACTATTTTAAAAAAATTTCACTGCATGTGAAAATTTTTGTTTTAATTTTTTAAAAATTATTTTTCAATAAAACAAATTATCAAAATTTTCAAATGTCTGCTAATTTAATTTTCATCATATTAAATTATAAATTTTAATATATACATATAGTAGTATAAATGTGAAATATGTGTTATGAGGATATTTTTTATTAAAAGTTGATTAAATTAAAATTATTATTGAAATAAATTTTTTGATAGATTTTGTTTATTGTTTATTTATTTATTTAATTTGAATGCCAAGGCAATGGCCAAATGGCAAAAATACAAAAATATAAGAATATAAAGTACATGTAAGAGTATAAACATATCTAAATAAATATTATAACAGTATTTAGCTTTCGCTAACAGAATAATGAAAAATGAAAACAGTCAAAAAAAAAACAAAAAAAGAAAATTTAAGAAATGTCATCAGTTATTTACAAATCTAAAGCTAAAGCACTCCAAATTTTAACGATTTTAATTATCTTCGGTGAAGCCGGGAATCAAGTTCTCCTTAAGCTCAAGATCATGGAAGAATTGATAAGCTTTTGTCTTGAAAGTGTCTATGCTAAGTGCATTGATGACGTCAGGTGGCAATTCTCTCCAGAGGCGTATCGATGAGATCAAGAATGAATGTTCGTAGGAGGTAGTTGAGAAATTAGGAATTTTAAATGTGATATTGTTCTGTCTGGCAGCCACTCTCTCAGAACGTCTAACATCTGGTGACTCTTCAACAAACATGCTTCTGAGGAATTTAGGTTCACCAGAGTTAAAAAGCTTGTACAGAAAACAAGCCAAGAAATAGTAACGCTTCGATTTGACTGTGAGCCATTGTAACGAGCGTCTGTGAGGTGTTATATGCTCATCACGTTTCAGGTTAAAAATGAATCTTATGCCGTTATTTACCAAGCATTGCAACTTGTAATCCAGCCTTTTGGATACATCCATCAAGACCAAAGAGCAGTAGTCAATAATTGGAATAACTATTGCAGCGACCAGCAATTTCCGGGTTGAGGTAGATAGTATATTCTTCCTATATTTTAGATTATTTAGAGTACCATAGACTTTTCGAGAGATTTGTGAAACATGAAGATCCCAAGAAAGATCTGCTGATAAATAAACACCCAAATGTTTAGTTGAGCTAACATATGGGATAACGTTTCCATCTACAATTATTTCAGGAAGATCACAACCCTTAAGTAGCTTATTTTGCTTAATTAATTACAATTGTTTTTTATTAAAAATTCTTTGAATAAATTATAATGATTTCTGAGAACGCTTCAGTGTTTTGTTTGTTTTTTCTTGTTATGAAAATTAAGTTAGCCGACATTTAAAAAATTTTAAGATTTTTTTTCATTAAAAAAATGATAACAAAAAAATTAAAAATAAATTTTCATTTGTAAAAAAATTAAAAAACTGTAAGTGTAATTTTTAAAAAATATTTTTTTATTCCAATTTAATTATTAAAATCGAAAAATTAAAAACGTCCGCTAACTTTATTATTATTTTCTTGTTTAGGTACATACCTTTAAATTGTTTTGTTTACTGGCAACTATGTACGATTGAATAAATGAAAAAATTTTTTTAAAAATCGAATGTATAAAAATATTTCTTCTTAATAATAAATCAACTAAATTCTTAACGTACTCAGTTAATTAAATATGATTTAAAAATTTCTTCATTTCTAAACAAATCAATAGTTACTATAAAATAAATATGTATAGGAAGATTTGGATGATGTATGTAAATGTCATGTAGTTGTCATTTAGCTCATTTAGTTTCTATCTAATTAAACAGGTTTTTTAACCAATAAGTATTTTTCTTCTTCTAAAAAGGAAACCAAATTCCACCTTTTAAAAACTACCTCAAATAATATTCTTACTTTTATTTATTTTCATATGTATATCAATTTTAAAATAACATGAGCTCAGTTGAAACGTTTTGAAAAATATTTTCAATAACAATTCTTCAAATATTGAACAAAAATGGTCAAAGAATCTCAGCTTTCCGACTGCTTAAGCTCTTTTTAATCAACGCCCAGTCCTCGAGGATCTCTGAGTCGTTGAGCATATAAACAATGTAAGGTCCGGTTACTGAAACCGCTCTGCGTCTGTCCGTGTGACTTCGACGCCTTCTGCTACTGGAGTTGAACATCAAGTCCTCATTAATGTCTACATTATTGCGGTCTTCCTCCAGCCTGCGGATTTTGTCCTGAAGATCATTATAAATAGCTTCCCACACGAGTCTTTTCTCGCTTTCAAAATTCTGTTTGGCCGCTTGCTCTTCGGCGTGAAACTGATTTTCAATATTTTGTAATCTTAACTGTTTAAGAATTCCCGCTACTTCTGTCCTTGTTTTCATATTTTGGTTCAAAAGCTCCAAAGGCATCAGATACTCTTCTGACTTTCCCACTTTTACTTCGCTTAATTTTGTGTCCACCTGAGTAATTCTTTCTCTGTACAACCTACAAATATTTATCAAGTTTTAATTTATTTTTTATCAAAGAATTATTTTTTATATTTATATATTGTTAAACTATATACACTTTTTTCGTCTTTTATTATGATTAATTTACTAATAAATAAAAAAATATTTACACTGAAAAAAATTAATTTAAAAGAAAAATTTCTACTCTTTCCGAAAATGACAACTTACTGTTCTTTCAGCAGAGTAAACTGTCTCTCCAAGTCTACCAAATTTTCCATACATTCGCTCCTTCGCCTCTCACACTCATCCTCATCCATCTCCGAGGAGTCATCGCTGTCACTGTGATCTGCACTGCTGTCACAGGACGCCGAACTTTGGTCACTGTTGTTACTGTCGTGTGACATTTCTTCGCCTTCGGGCTCAGATTCATCTTTAACGCTGGGCATCGACGTTCAGGAGCACCAAGTCTCCCAAATAAACTGAAAATAAACAAACAAACTTTAATAAATAATAATATGTCAATATTATTAAACTCCATAACCTCAACGTCAGACAAAAATAAAATACTCAGTAATAAAATAAAAAATTAATTTTTTTTAAAATTCATTTGAAGAAATAAAATTTTCTACTAACCTCAAAATTATAAATATAAACAAAAAAAAAAATAAAAATTCAAAACACAGTTTTTTAATGTTTTTATTTAAATGCCAGTTTTTGTTTCTTACTCGGTGTACTTATAGTTTACAAAACAATTATTGAACTATGCTGCCCTCTATTAACAGCGGCTTACTCTCTTGATATCATTCAGAGGTAAGAAAGTTTTTATATACCATCAATTTTATTTTATTAAAAAAAATCTATCAAATTTATTATTAAAAATTGATGTTTCTTCATTGTTAAAATTTGTGAAAACTATAAAGTAAGTAATCATATGTTTAATTTGTTTTTTTTTTTTTTTTTTATTTATTACTATTAAATTTAATTTTTTTACATAAAAAAAATTCCCGCACAACCAACCAAAAAGCCCGATGAACAGTCCAGCGAATCTCCGAATTGACAGCAACAGGTTATTGCTTGAATTATTAACTCAACAAATAATAACCGGGGTGATTTTTTTTAATTTATCAACAAACTATTGCAGTTTAATTTTTATGATATTCAAAGTTAGGCAAAAAATGGTCAAGTGACTGCTAACTTTAATGTCATTTATTTATCTATTAATAATATTCTAAAAATTTATTTATAATTATAATTGGTCTTTAATTTTATAACTTCACAGAAAAATTACTTACATTTTTTAATCTTAATAACAAAAGCTTTAATAGTAATTTAATGTCAGCAATTGAATTTATAAATGACTGTACTCTACTTCATAACTTAATTTTTGGATAAGTATATATTAAAGACTTTTTGGGTAAAAATTAAAGACCTCTGAAGAAATCTAGCAGTTCGTCAACCACGTGAAAATAAATAGTAATCTAGCTACTGAGTAATCTCCATAACACACGAGAAAGTTAACGCTGTGATCCAACGAGCGAAGGAGAAAGAAAGTTTTAAAAAAAAAAAAACTTTTCCCCCGCATTGTGTTCACCTTCCATCACTTTCATTTATCTCCATTTCTTCTTGAGAGTTTTTATCCTGAGTTTGGCAATACAAAGACTCGTCAATAGATGTGATCATCTGGTAATTCATCATCATCATCATCATCATATATACAATATATAACGTAATATTTTATGTATTTATAGTAACATTTGTACGTATAATATACTTTCGCTAGCCAGTTCGATGATCCATCGAAAGTTATGTTCTTCAGTATCAAGGTATAGTAGTATTGCCCACTTTCAATTGTAACGGGAGAAATGGCAGTGACTTTCCATTTCTTGCTAAAAAAAAAAATATCAAATTAAAAAAGTCTAAGTACACTACTATTACTATTTATTGGTATTGATAACAATATTTTTATCATTATAATGTTTAAATTATTTATAGATAATTGATAAATTTATTTTAATAAATTTAGCTTATTTTATTTTAATAATAATAATAATAACAATAATAAAAATTTAAAATATTATTATTATTAAATTAATTTTTAATAAATTATTGTAAATGGAAAATATTTAATACATTTCTTCTTTAGCTATAAAAATATAATTAATAATAAAATTGAATAATTTCTGATATTTCTTCTTTTACATTTCAGTTTACAAAAAAAAAAAAACGATGTTATGAGTTAACTAATTAATCATCCATTTTTAACTAGAGATAGTCTTCATACTTAATCAATATATAAGTATCATCTTCTCTGTATGTACGTAAATTACCATTTATTTCTTCTTATTCACATTATATTAAAATTGTTTTTTTTTTTTTTTATTTTTTCAGTAAACCATAATATAAACTCTAAGATTATTATTACTCGACGCCTACGTCGATCATTTACCCTAGAGTAAGCAGCAGCTGAGATGCAAGCACATATATACATAAAATTAATTTAGCTGAATGGCGTATTGCCCAATAAAAAAAAAAAAACATGCGGGCGATAGTTATAAACAACAAAGTTTAAGTATATATAAGTACGTAAAATTGAAAATAAAAATAAATGAACACACAAAGCCGTTGAAAAATAAAACGCGCTAAGAAGAAACCAAAAGCAAACGTTACCACGTGATGGAAGATACCGAAATAACTCGAGGACATGCCTTAAAATTTCTTCAAGGTCATGATTAGACGCTACTTGTTAAATTATTATTGTCAATAATGATAATAATAATACCATTATCATCATCAGTCACTATTAAAATTAAATTAAATCTCATTAAAAATTAATGACGTAGTTGATAGAACAAAAAATAATATTCAATTTTCTTTGTTAAGTTTGAGTAACTAATTTAACGTTTCTCTATTTCTCTAATCTGGTGTTTTATTTTATCGCTTCAGTCAATCGTCGTTTCGTCATTTATACATGTATAAATATTATTATATATAATTATGATTGCTCAATCGGTGAGCGAAGGCAAGTTTTGTCTTCTCTTTAGTGGCATGTTTGACTTTCCCTTTCAAAAAAGGTTGATCTTAACTAAATAGAATACAAGTTTCACGTTAAAACTTTCTTTTTTCTTTCTTTCCGTGATACAATAATTAATATTTACAATAATAATAATGAAAGTTATAGCTTAAATAAATAAAAATTTTACTTATTTTCATAAATTACCCCTAGAAATAATTTTTAAAGAAATTTAAAGAAGACTACATTAAAATTTTAAGATTTCTTCTTTAAAAAATAATAGAAGAATTTTTTGTGATTTTATAAACTTAGTTAGAAGAAATTATTATGATAGTTGGGGAGATAGGGCGAAAAATTGTTTTGTAATAAAAGAAGAAATGACTCTTTATTAAAATTAATGAAAATTTAAATATAAATTGAATAGTGATGTATGATATTTATAAATAAGAGAGCGAAAATGAGTTTAAAAAGTGGCAGGATGTTGGCGAGAGAAAGGAGATAGGTTTAAGCGAGTTGAAAGAAGAAACAGGCGTTGGTAAGAACCGGAGAGGGGAATCGAGAAGAGATTGTGGATGAGGCATTTTTCAGACCACGGGAGGGACTTATATAAGAAACCAAGATGGCAACCGGTTGTCCCTGAGTGCCCCAAGCACCGTTTATTTGCACATTTTTATCTATTTTTCAAAGTCGCGCAGAGTCAAAAGAGACAAATGAGAAAAAAACATTTTTAAAAGTAAAAATAAAAATAACAAACTTGTATCGGAGCTTGTTTCTCAGGAGCATATTCTCACCCTCTTCTTCGGTTCGGCTTATATTATGGTTGTATTATATTACTTTTTTTTTTTTTTTTTTTTATTTATTTTAATATAAATGTATTGCTTTTTAGCCGAGATGTTTTTTTAATTCATTTTAATTCACAGCAATTTATTTTTCTTTTTTCTTACGTCTTTCGATCATTAACATTACCATTTTAGCTGTTTGCTGTTGGATTGCATAATTTTTGTGAATATTTTATTGGTTAAATTATTTTAATTAGATTTTATATTTTATTATTATTGCCAGAATTCTACTAATTTAAAAATGGAAGAATTTATAAATTTATAAATTTACTTTGCTAAGAGTACACCGCACTCGACTAATTTTAGATGAGCTATGAATGAGACGAGCGAATAGGTACATGAACTCTCTTTCACAAATTTACGATAGTTTTTACTTTATTTTAATATTATAAATTATTTCTTCACAAAAAAAAAAAAAAAAATATTTTTTTATTAATAATTATTTATCTATTTCTTCTCAAAAATATTTAACAAAAAAAATATTATTTCTTCATTTTTTAATAAATAAATCACCTGAAAGAAAAATATCAATAAAAATGATTAAAAAAAAAAAATAAAAACAAATTATTAAAAGTATACAATTTATTTGAATAAGAATCTCAAGAAAATGCAAAAAGAAGAATATAAATAAAAATCTGTTACAACGTAAATAAATTATAATTGGAGCAATAAATTTAAAAGATAAATAAGAAATGAAAATTTCTAAATAAATAATGCAAATAATTAATTAATTAATAATAATAATAATAATATTTAATAACAATCAACTTAATTTATAGCACATTCGGAAAATAAACAAGAGCATACAGTAATTCAAATCTTTTCGTCACAGTAAATTTTTTTTTTATTTCTTCAACAATCATATAAACTTTAAAAGCCGAGAGATTATGACTTTTACTTGTTTATTTTTTATTGTACAAACACGTTATACATTTAACCGTGTATTTTTTGAGTTTATAAGATTTTTTTCTTCTATATTTTATTAAATCAAACGCAGTATAAAATATTGTATAAATATATAAATACTATTGAAAAAAAATAAATATATTAAATTAAAAGTTAAACATAAATCTACGATTATATTTTTTTATCATCGTTATCATTGAGATAAGTCTATATATATATATATATATATATATATATATATCTATATATATGTTGTAGAAAAGGGCAATACATTGTAAAAAACTGAAAAAAAAAATATCTGTTTACAACTTTATCATTTTTTTTTAAATTGGACTGTCTTTTAAATAATATTTCAGTTAACATTATTAAATTATAATAAATATATTATATATTGCCCTTTTTTGTAAGAGATCTTGGACAAAAAATATAAATTTGCTAATTCTCAAAATTTCTACACGGAAAATACATTTATAAATATGTGGAAAAAAAAAAAAAAAAAAAAAAAAAAAAAATTGTTTTTTAAGAAAATAATTTATATAAAATTGATTGAACGTTATAGTATTATAGAAAGGCACATTTTTTTGTGTGCATCACATTTCTTTTTCTCCTTTTTTTTTTATTTTTTTTTTTTTTTTTTTTTTTTTAATATTTTCATTATTATAAGTAGAAAATAGTATTATGAAAAAAACTCAAGGGTAAACTGAGAATAAGCAAATAATAAGTATACATATTTGTAAATATGCATACAATGTCGTATGATGGACGGGTTTTTTTTAAGAATGTTTCAACACACACACTCAATCCATCATATGGCAAATACATAATATAATAATAAAAAATAATAATAATAATATATAGAGTATTTATATTTATATATATATAAAATATATATATATATAAAATATAAATCGTACAAAATTAAATAATTGATAAATAGATGCACACTTATTTTTAATAACTATAAATAATAATAATAATTTACAGTTTTTTCCTTTTTTTTTTTTTTTTTTTTTTTTTTTTTTTTTTTTAATATTTTCATTATTATAAGTAGAAAATAGTATTATGAAAAAAACTCAAGGGTAAACTGAGAATAAGCAAATAATAAGTATACATATTTGTAAATATGCATACAATGTCGTATGATGGACGGGTTTTTTTTAAGAATGTTTCAACACACACACTCAATCCATCATATGGCAAATACATAATATAATAATAAAAAATAATAATAATAATATATAGAGTATTTATATTTATATATATATAAAATATATATATATATAAAATATAAATCGTACAAAATTAAATAATTGATAAATAGATGCACACTTATTTTTAATAACTATAAATAATAATAATAATTTACAGCGCTGAAGAACATATAAATAGATAATGTAATTGTAATAGCTTTAACAGAAATATTATTGTGAATATAAGTTACTAATATATAATAGGCTTAATATAATATAAATATACGATTATTTAAATTAATCATAAGCATAATATTTACGACTAATCAAACGAAAAAGTATTTCTTCTTTGTAATAATTTTAACAATCGTAGATTACTAGAAAAAAATAATTTTAGTACTTATTATTGAGTAATGTAACTTAGAGTAATAGATATAAATTTAAAAAGTTAAACAATGTTGAAGCAGTAAGAGGAACTTTTTAAATTGTTTTACATTATTTTTAAAAATATAAAATATTAAACTTTAGATAGCTTCTGGTTATAAATTAAACAGAGTTTTTGCGTAAGAAAAATATATACAAATATTAATATTTAGAATTTTTTTTAATATTAATTTAATATATGTAATTATTTTTTGATAATAATGATTATGTTTTTTTTTAAATATTTCACAGAGTTTAGTAAGGCAATGTGAGAAGAATTACTCCCTTTATACTCTTCTTAAATTAAGAATAAGTTAAATTTAAATTAATAATAATAATAATAATAATAATAATAATAAAAAAAAAAGAACCTTATATCAAACTCGAATTGTGTCTTATTGTTTTTGTAGGACGTGTCCAAAGTTAATAGAGTGTCGATAAAATAGTAAATATTTCTATTGCAAATAATTACATATCACAATTCCACTTAGATTAGATTTGTTTTCTCGGAAGATGAACAACAAAATGATTTTATCTATCAAAATAAAAATATAAAATAATTATTTATAAATTTTAATCTATTTTATTGTTTTTTCTCAATCACTCTCTCACATATTTTATGATAATTTTATTTAATAATAAGCCACGCATAAAGTAAGATTTAAAAATCAAACTTTTGTATCAAATAAATTTTGTTTTTTTTTTTTTTTTTAAATAATATTTATAATTATTTTTAAATAAATTCTCAGATTATATCACTAAATAAAAAGTTTGGAAGACAATTTAACGTTAATTGTATTTTGAAATACCTTAAATAGATGATAACTATTACTTTTATCATATTTCAGTGTCTTATCGACGGCTTTCAAAAATAAAATCAAATTAAACACGTTTCATACTCGATAACTAATTATTTTTTTTCTCATGCGTAAGATAAAGAAGCATATTTTTTTTTTTTTTTTTTTTTTTCTTCATAATCGGGACAAAAATAATAAATAAAAAAAAAAAAATTAAAGATAATTAATAGAGGATAGAAAAAAAATATGCGTATGGAATATTGCAACGTTTCACTCGTTCATGATTGTCGCTTGTAGATCACGGTATTTAAAATCACTGAATAATTAATATAAACCCTAACTAATTACACATAAAACTTGTCTTTATACGTGTTATAAGGTCGTCGTTATAAATAATTATTAATAGATATTGATAGTATAAGTAATTTAACCAAATAATTGAATTGAGTAAAAAAAACAATTGTAAGAAATGTAAAAAAAGGAACGACTACACTGATGGAAGGATTTGTTTAAAGTTAAAAATATTTGACAAATCATTTATAAGGGGCCACTTTTTAGGATTTAAAAAAATTTATTAGTATTAAATGAATATCAGATTTATTAAATTATTTTAAATATTTATTTAATACTAAAAAGTACTCTCTAATAAACTATTAACAAAGATTTTTTGGTAGAAATAAATCCTTCTATCAGTGTACTAGTATTACTGCTAATAATAATAATAATAAAAAAAATGATGATAATAATAGGATAGAAAAATTTAAATTTTCAAGTTTTCAAAATCACCGATGGTACTGCTGATTCTATTGAAAACGGGTAATCTGGATTCGTTGTTCGGTGACAATGGTGACGGAGTTCTCGGTATGAGATCATCAGAGACAGAGTGGTGATTAACAATGACACCGGGTGGACTTGGACTTTGTCTAGTAGCAGCAAGTAGTCCAAAATCCTGACCAAAGCTGAATGCCGTTGTTGAGAGATTAGCATTATTGTTATTAGGATTGCCAGCGCAGTCGTCGCTGAAGAAGCTGGCCATAGAGTTTGTCGGTGACTGGCTGAGACTCGAAGACGGTGACACGGACTCGGCAGTGCTGCCAAGCGAAAAAGTCGGGCTGAGATTTAGTGGCTTGGGTCGAGTACCAATAGCCACTGAATTTGTCTGGTGATTGTGATGATGGTAAGTCATAAGACTGAGCGAGTTGGCTCTGAGCAATGGTGGGTTGGTGAACGCCGTGTGGTGCTGAGTGCCAATGTTCAATGAATTGGTTCTCATTAACGGAGAATGGATGTTATTGATAGCCGTTATGGCTTGATGAGGCGCAGTGGCGATCTGCTCCAGCAATGATATATTTAAATTGGCAGCTGCTGCGCTGACATTCAGAAAGGGTGTCAGGCCCATGATGTTTGGCTGGACACCACCCAGTTGTTGGTTTACTTTTTCATTGTGAATCCTGGCTTCCTCGAAGTTGTGGATGAAGTGGCACCTAGGCCCGTAAGGGCAGAACCCGATGGTATGAAACGTGCGACAGAGTTCCGTTTTGTATTTGGGATGACGAGTAAGATTGCGTAGTTCATTGTACCCGTGGGCGAATTGACATTTGTCTCCGTACTTACAGGTACCGGACTCCTCGAAGGGCCGGCAAAGCTCAGTCTTGTACCTTGAAGTTGGCTCGCTTACACTTCGGTCCAGCTTTCGGTGCTGCTCGAACAGAGTCACCAGAGATGTGTAGCTTCTTCTCAGGGGAATTGGACCCGCTCCTGCTTGGACGCTCATTGGATCCTTGGACTTTTGTCCGCTCTGAAATCAATTAAAAAAATTTTTTTTTAATATTGCTGCATTTTTTTATAATTTTTTCAATAAAAAAAAATTATTAAATGTCGGCTAACTTATGTTTCATAAATTAGTATAGCCAACATCTTAAAATTTAAATAATTTATTTTATTTAAAAAAAAAATTTCACATTTTTTAATTTTTTTTAATAATTAAATTAGAACAAAAAAAAATATTTTTTAAAAGTTGCACTCACAGTTTTTAAAGTTTTTCACAAGTGAAAATTTTTTTTTCAATAAAAAAAAATTCTAAAAATTTTTAAATGTCAGCTAACTTAATTTTCATATATTAATTTTGTAGTTAAGTAACATAACTTATTTGTTTAAATTTATTTGCACTCTAAATTTTTTTTTTATAAATTTTTAAATAAAAAATTTTTAGATGACTAAATTTTTATATTTTAGTATAATTATTTATTTAGATTTTAGATCAGAATAAATAGCAGTATATCGGCTGGCTTTTTCATCATTTTGGCAAACTTTTTTTTAATAAGAAAAATTTTTAAATATTAGTTTTGAAATTGGGCAGCCGATTTATTTTACTGTAATTATTAACAGTGGAAATTTCCAGTTTATATTCATCGATGTAAACATCCTGCTGTTTACCAACCGAAACGACTAAAATATACTAAATTATTATAAGGATATGCAGGTACTTTTAACATATTTAATAAGTAATAAGGATATATTATTAATTATAATAAAATATATTAAGTTATTAATGTAAAAGCATTAAAAAGTGGATAGACTGTAAGTTAAGTTGTAAGTGCATTTACATTTGTGTCTGTATGCTGTATAAGTATTAACTTTCTCCTTCATCGTTATAACTGAAGGTCATAAGTAATTTGTAACTGTTAAACAACTTTCAACCGGCTACACACAACTATATATCTTTAATCTTTCTATATATAAATATATAAATGTATATATGTACATAACATAAAAATTGTAAAAACATGGCGGACAAAATCGAATGGCAATAATGCTTTAGACAGCGCCAGAGATTACGTTGCGTAATTCAATAACCATGCTTTTTATTTTTTTCTGTTCAGTATTCTGTGTAATATCCACATTCTCATCACCATTCACTTTACTGACCTTCTGTAATCACTATTTTATTTCTCTCATTGCCAATAATTTTTTTATATTTTATTTATCAACATTTATACCTACAATTACCGTGATTTTAATTCTAATGCATATTTATGAGCTGCTCGAATTTTATTACTTGTAATTGTCAAAGATTTTTGTCGCTTTATTTTACAAAACAAATAATTATTAAACATTGATATGAAAATAAAGTTAGCCAACATCTAAAAAATTTGATGATTTTTTTTTATTAAAAAAAAATTTTTTCATTTGTTAAAAACTTTTAAAACTACAAGTGGAATTTTTTAAAAATATTTTTTAGTTATAATTTAATATAAATTAAGTAAAATAAAAAAATAAAAAATGTCGGCTAATTTTATTATTATAACATTTATATATGCTCGACTTTTGACCGGAGATTTTCATTGTTTATCCTTCGTTTCATTTTATTTATCTTTCTTTCTTTCTTTCTTTCTTTCTTGGTGTATATATGTATACATAACATAACATGGACAGAATGAAAGACTTGGTCTTGTCTGAGCGGACGGAAGTCAACAGACCGTAAAAGGTTTCCCTTTCCGGAGCAAAAGAGCGTGTCCGCAACCCTTTCGCTCGAGTTTCTATCGCTATTTCATCCGTCACATTTATTATTAATTTATTTATGGGTGTAGTTATTTTTAAAACTACATACGCTTTTAATAATCAATTGCGTAAAGCGTAAGCAGTAATATTATTTTTTTTTTTTTTTTTTTTTTAATTTACTTTCCTGAGAAAGTCTAGACATAATTTGTATCAATTATGCTGGGGCATAATAGGTCTCACCTTTGGACATTTTTTTCTTCGAAAATAATAACGATGACGGTTTTGAAATTTCTGAATAGAAACCAAAAGCAGTAGTCAATACTGGAGAATAAAATAGAAAGGCCCGTCAGGTTTCTTTTTTTTTTTTTTTTTTTTTTTAAAATGAGGGAAATTTTTTCGTATTCCATTCCATTGGGTAGGAGCGTACTACAATTCAACAACCTCTTACTATATATTCACTGCAAGTGAATACTATACGGTATGACGGCATTCACAATAACTAGACATTGAAATAACAAGGCTAAGGGACAAGGGGACTGAGTTTGTGAGTGCCCTGTACACCATACAAGAACGTGGCTGTACACGTGGATCGGGGGAATTTCGTAGACAATAGAATGAGGGGTGAGTCGTTGGTTTCTCCTGCCCCTGAAATCGAGACATGCAACAGGTATCCGTCTGATTTCAGCCCATCGCTATTTCACTTATTTATTTTTTTTTTTTTTTTTTTAATACTCCAAGCTCTTGAATTTTGATGTGTTAATTAAGATGAAAATTAAGTTAGCCGCATCTAAAAAATTTAATGATTTTTTTTATTAAAGAATTATTAAAAAAAAAATTTTGTTTAAAAAAATTATTTAAAAAAAAATTGCATTATTAATTTATTAAAATTTCTAAATGTCCATTTTTTTATGCAGTTATTTATTTATTAGAAAAATTATAAAATATCTGCTAAATTAATTTATAATAATAAAGTTAGCCGACGTTTTTAATTTTTTTTTTTTATTATTAAATTATAACTAAAAAATATTTTTTAAAAATTGCACTTTCAGTTTTTCGAGTTATGAAAATTAAGTTAGCCGACATCTAAGAAATTTTATGTTATTAAAAACTTCAAAAACTATAAGTGCAATTTTTAAAAAATATTTTTTAGTTATAATTTAATAAAGCAAAATAAAAAATCAAAAATTTCGGCTAACTTTATTATTTATAATTAAACAAAATATTTTAATATAAATATTTATATTTATTATTTATAATAAATCAGCCTGTGTTTAATAATTACTCAGGAAGTGACTTTGTTAAATTTGACAATGCAGGAAATCGTACGAGATATTAACATTTTATTTTTGCTCGTAATAATTCTCATTTTAATTATTTATAAATCAATTATCGTAGACAGTAAGTCTGTTATCTGCAAAAGAAAGAGAAATTACTCTTTGTGAATACACCAAATTACAAAACCATTAAAAATAGATTTCTTAACGTAGGTCACGCATATATATATAGGTAAATGGATTATATATTAATATACTTTAGGTTATTATTATTAAGTATGAGTTTGAATTTACAGAGAATCTCAAGAACTTCTTTTGTCCGATTTATCAATGCCAATGACATTAAAAAAAGATGACGATGCGATATCCGAATTATTTCGGGAATAATCGAGTCATTAGCCGGCGGGTCTATGCGCGCTTTTTAACAATAATATTCTTTTTTTTTTGTAATAATAATAATAATAATAATAATAATGACTATTTAAATAAGTTGACGTTTCGTTTGTATTGTACGAAAGATAAAAATTTCACTTGAGAGCTGATGGTCAGGAGAAACCTATAAGAAAGGAGAGTGGTTAAGTTTCCCGAGCGGAGCGATCCGAGGTGAGAGTCCAAATCCTTTCTTACTATCACATTTAGTAATGTAACTTAAAATAATTTGTTAGATGTTGTGATAGTAGTTGTAATTATAAAAAAATATACTCATGATAATGACAATCATTAAAATAATAAAAAAAAAATTATATTAATAAAGTTAGCCGACATTTTAGATTTTTTTATTTTGCTTAATTTATTAAATTATAACTAAAAAATTGCACTTTTAAAGAGTTTTTAAAGTTTTTAACAAATGAAAAAATTTTTAGATGGTCGGCTAACTTTATATTGATAATAAAAAAATTACCTTAAAAAGATGTTCACTGCACTCGTATATCGGAGTGCTCATAACAGCAGCAGACATGATGGTACTTATTGTTTAAGTTACAGTTTTAGTTTTAAAAACAACTAAACGCACAATTACACAGTCACAACTTTCCTTTGTGAAACCGCTTGCTCACCAATTGACTCACGAATACGTAATGAGGATTATTACTTTATTCTTCTTTAGTTCTTCAGCTTCAGTTAGCTTATTGCTTTTATTAATTCTTCTTATCCAGCTACTAGTATTTTTTTTCTTCCCACCTTTTTTTTCCTTCACAAAAAACTACAATGTTTCTAACCCTTGTCTCATCAAGCAATAAAATCAATCAATAAATAATAATAACATTTATAATAATAAATACCGGCTCGTCAATCACTTATTACTAAGTCGTGTAACTACAACTAAATTACCACAAAAATTACCACTTGTCAAGTCACTTACCATTTAGCACTAGTGACACTTTTTATTTATTTATTTATTTATTATTTACTTTTAATTATTATTTTTTCTTAGTTAAATATATTAAACTTGGCACTTTTAGTTATCGTAAATAATAATAATAATAATAATTATTATTATTATTATTATTATTATTATTATTATTTAATTATCAGCAATAGCAAGTTGTTTGTTCGAGGTTCTGTACAAGAAGAAATACTTTTTATTAATTATTTAGTTTCTTAACAACAAAAGGGTCTATCCTGCAGAAGCTCGTTGGTAAAAAAATAATAATAAACAGCAACTCAACTTATACAGCCTTCGTAGCTGACTGATTGACTGTGCGCAACCGTGCGTGCCGCCGACGCCGAGCCGAGCGCTTAACTTCGAGGACAAACGTAAGGCGGCGCTAAAGTATCAGCCAATGGGAGAACAAATGGAGGCTTGGCGGGCGATCGCGAGTGTTATCCCCACTACTAAAAATATATATACATGTATTGTATATATTAGTATTCATGTAAGTCTTTTTATTTAATACTACGCATATATACGTCTTACATATAAATATATATTACTTACACACTTACAGCGGCTGGTCTCGCACTCTGCGTAATAATCACAACAAGCCGATTCTTTCTGCGAGTCTTGTCTCGACTTGTCGAGAAATCCTACGAGTATGTGTATATGTACGTGTGAGTATATCTGAACTTACTTACACTCCCACAATGTCTTGGATGTCTTAAACTTTAAAACTTGTCCTATAGACTCGCTCGTAGACTTGGCAACAACGCCCAATAACAAGGGTCTCGGTCTTTCTTCCATCTACCATCGCATGTTCTTTAATCTTTCACTGAAAAGCTTTTACATAAATAAAACATATATTTATATAAATATTGTATATTTTTTTTTCAGATACTTATGCATATTAATTACCGTAAATTTGTGAGTGATTCACTCGATTTAATAATTGCTGTCATTATTATTTTTTATATATCAATTCCAATTATTTAATCAATGATTGTAATTGTTGGATAAATATTAATATGTATGATGGATGTAAGTAAGTACTTTTGTGTATATGTCATTGTTTTTCCTGAGAAATTAAACGTGAGTATAGACTTCCGTAGGCTCAACTTTGGCATGAATGAACACTGATAACTTTTTATTCATGCGCGCGCAGTATCAACAGCTTTATGTTTTATATTTAATAATGCTAGTTTATCAATTATAATTATTATTGTTATTTTATTAGGAGTTTTTATATTAATTATATTACTAAAATGAACATTAAATTAGCCAACATCTTAAAAAATTTTGATAATTTATTTTATTGAAAAATTATTTATAAAAAAATTTCACATGTAGAAAATTTTAAAAATTACACATGCAATTTTTTTTTAAATATATTTTTAGTCTTAATTTAATTAAAAAAAGAAATTAAAAATTGTTGAATGTCGATTAATAACATAATACTAAAGTTAGCCGACGATTTTAATTTTTTTAATAATTATATTAGAACAAAAAAAATATTTTTTAAAAATTGCACTCACAATTTTCAAAGTTTTTCACAAGTGAGAATTTTTTTAAAATTATTTTTTCAATAAAAAAAAATTCTAAAAATTTTTAAATATCGGCTAACTTAATTTTCATCTATTAATTTTGTAGTTAAGTAACATAATTTATTTATTTAAACTACAGAAATTTTTTTAGCAATGAAATTAAAAAAAAAAATATTTATAAAAATTGTACTCAAAATTTTTCTTTTATAATTTTTTAAATAAAAAATTTATAGATGTAAACTAAATTTTCATACTTTAGTATAATTATTTAGATTTTAGATCAGAATAAATAGCAGAGAATGTATTTATAAATGAAGTCATGGGAATATTTTATGAATTGGACAACATTACCCCTATGAGGAGCATTTAAATGCCATAAAAACCGTATGTTCAACAGCCCTGAACAAGGCAGCCCTCATCTATGCTACCCGTATCGTTACTGGGAAAAAGAGTAAGCTGACATGAATGTACGAGGATGAGAAGAAACATTTATAATTGATCCTACACTTGGTCACACGTGTCTTCAGCGTTGATTTGTTGCTTTGAGTAAGATTTTCACCCCAACGTTATTCATGGTCAATAAACACAACTCTTCATACGTTACCAATAAACTGAGTGTCTATTTAAATTTAATTAACAAAATAAGCCGATGGGTAATTTTAAACTTTCACATAAATCTGCCTTTTGATTTTTTACAGATAGAAGTTTATGTATACACGTATAATATAATATACATATACGTATATTGACAAGATGATTAGATATTCTGAAGATGATAAGACGTGTACATTGGGGAGTCGTTATCACTTATGTATATTTTATTGAACCATCTGTGGTTTATGACCAGACGTTTTTTTTATTTATCAATCACGCAATAAGTATTATTACATACTTTGTTTAAAATTTCAATCTGATAAATTTACAGCTATATTTTTACACTCTTTAATATTCATAATTACAGTTTTAAGGGGATAATTAGTAAATTACTAAACCATTTACTTAAATTAACTTAAGCTAATTACAAGAATTATAGTAATAGTAAAGTAGATATATATTATAATAATATAATATAAATTTTTACAGTGTAGTCTGAAACTTTCACTTGAGACTTTCCCTTTCTACGAAGGGCAATCTCCATCACTTGCATAAGCCTGTCTATATATACCATGTAATTATTTACATTATCATTGACACAATTTAATATTTATTATTTATATATTAGATATAATATTATTTTTTAAAAACTTACATCTATATTTACTTTTGTATTTTTTTTACAGACGTGCTTTAACGCGAGTTTACTGACTATGTGATGTGATGACGCTAAAAAAAAAAAATAAAAAAAAGCAAAAAAAAAAAAACATATGTATGTGCATATATATACATATTATATTGTACGATATGCGAATGGGAGACGAAGAGTGGAATTTTCCAGCGCCTATCACTACCACAAACGTGACGACTTTTAGCTTATCGTTCGTATATTAATACCAACTCATCCTATCTCTTTGCTGTGGTAATAAATTTTTTTATTTTTTACCTCCTTTTTATGGCATATTTTTATTTGTCAACAGAATTAATCGCGTGATTATCTATTTAAAACTCACAAATAAGAAGAGTTTTTAATAACAATAACACGTAAACATAGAAATATCAAGAGATTTTTATTGCTAACTGTTAAATTAATTGTTCATTTGCTGTATTTATCTTATTTATGGTATTGATGAAATTTAATCTAATATTCAAATTATTTATTTCGTTTTTACTATATTAATTAGGGTGGCGCAAAAAAACCGACTATTTTTTTTTTAGTCTCGAGTGAAAAAATGTTAGTTTTAGATGTTTTATATAAGAGCTCTCTCCAAAGGACAGCTCAAAAAAAAAATTTTTAAGAGGTCGCTCCAAATTTTTTTAAATTTCAAAAATCGAATTTTCTTTTTTTTTTTTAATTTTTTTTCTCGTTATTTCATAATTTTATAGACCAAAAAAAAATAAGTTCCTGCAAGTTTCAATTCAAAATTTAAATTTTGAAAGGTCACTCATAATTTTTTTTTAAATTTCAGAATTAAAAAATGCTAATCCAATGAAATAGTCACTAATAAATTCAAAAAAATTATAAGCGACCTTTTAAAATTCACATTTTGAACTGAAAATTTCAGGAAAACCTTTTTTTTTTAGTCTATAAAATTATGACGTAATAATAATTTTTATTTTTTGGTCAAAGAATATTCCAAGATCAGCTTGGAAATTTTTTTTAGATTACTCTATCTCCTTAAACATTTAGTACCAACTTGTAAATTATTATATTCATGTATATAAATATATTTAGTACGAGAAACTTAAATAATAACCGCACTTGGTTAAACAAGAATTCTCTATACAGTCAATAGTAATAATAATATACGATACACGAGTGAGTCCTCAGTATGTGAGTATGTGTGAATTAATTTTCCTTTCATGTATGTCCATCTTCGTCGACCTAAAAGATAGAAAGTAAAGATACTTTAGCTGGAGATAAGAGGGGACTTAATATTTAAAAGCCGATTTTAAAATTCAAATAATTCATAACATTCGATATTTTTTTTTTATTGCTAGTAAATGTTTCAATACATCCATATGTTAATTGAACAAATACAGCTGTAATATTTCGGTATTTACTATAACTTTCGGTTGTATATAAATTTATGATAATTTATTTATATATATAGTTTGAATTTTTATTACTTGATTTATTAGATTATGGGAATTTTTTTTATTTAAATGCTACTATAATATAAATATATTTATACACGTGTATCTATTTGAAAAAAGAAAATTAATTGGTAAATATCAATATCAATGTATGTAAAATAAAAATACTCTAGCAAAATAATTTAAAAGTAACTTTAGTCTAACAACTTTCTCAAAAATATTTTATTTTCTCATATCGTTTTATGCGTGTATTTTTGCGCACATGGAAAACAGATGTGTATATATAATATCTTCTTGAAATAATTTATTACTTCACACAGTAGCTACGTCAGTGTCACCAAAAAAATAAAT